GTTCTGCTAGACTGGGGGGGGGTCGGTGGCTGTGCTGCTCTGTATTTCTGTTTCTTCGCGTTTGTGTTTATAAAGTGGGGGAAACTCCTTGAAAATGCAAAAATCGATGAACAAAATAAACAAAGAAAAAGCAGATTCAGCTGTATGCAACGACAGAGGCACCGGCGCAGCGGCATCACCACGCAGCAGGCAGCAAGGAAAGCGAGTGTAAATACAGCTCAAAGTGGAAAAAGGAAGAATAAATATGTATTTAATTGTATTTTAATAATAAAGAAACAAAAAAGAAACGAAATACATGAAGAAAACAGACAGAATACAACGACACCCTGATCTGGGGTGTACGTACACCTCAGCAACATACGGTGCGTTTACTGTGCTTGCAGTTACAAATTCAGTTTTTGTTTATAAGAGAAAAAAAAAAACAGTTTTCTCCCCATTTTATAAATTATAATATATTTTATAAATAAAATATAAATATATTTTATAAATAAAATATATTATATTAACCCATCAATCCACTCTTTCTGGTTGTGCGATGCTGCAGCTGCAGCTGCAGCTGCACGCGGTGTACGTGCAGCTGCTGCGGCTGTTGCCGTTGTTTCTTTTTTTTTTATGTATTTCGTGAAAATCAAAACAACAAAATATTTATTTTATATTGTTTTATATTTTTATTCTTTTTTTTTATCTCAGATTCACTGCAACTTTTTTTTCGTTTCTGTATATGTATGCATATACACCCCACCGGGCCCCACCCAACATACACCATGTATAAGCCCTACAACTTGTTTTTCTCTCTCAATTAAAAATATTTATTTATTTTTATTTTATTTTTTTTATTTTTTTTTATTTTATTTTAGCATCAACGAGATGAATGGCTCTTCCAGTCACCGCGAGGCGCCACACCAATGGTCCCGTCCTGCAACACCACAACATTCACATATTTCGATGCAGCAGCTGACCACTGGTCCACTCAACTATACACCATCCTCTCCTGCTCCTGCTCCTGCTGCTGCTGCTCCTGCTGCTGCTGCTGCTGCTACTGCTGCTGCTGCTGCTGCTGCTGCTGCTGCTGCTGCTGCTGCTGCTGCTGCTGCTGCTGCTGCTGCTGTATACAGCACAGAGAAGAAACCCACCAGCTTCGTTGCGAAACACTTCTCCATATCCCTCGCCAGCTTCTCTTGAACAGCTGCACACACACAACCCAAACCCTAAACCCTAAACCCTAAACCCTAAACCCTAAACCCTAGATTTCACACAAAGAGCACGCCGGCATCAGCAAAAACACCACCAGCAACAGCAGCAACAGCAATAGCAGACAGCAGCAGCAGCAGCAGCAGCAGCAGCAGCAGCAGCAGCAGCAGCAGCAAAGCTCACATCTGTCGCATTTCTTAGCCCATACTTCTATACGA